GGGGGGCGGAGCGGGGCCACCCGCAGGGTGTCCCCAGGGAAATGAAGGCGCCCCTGTGACCTCCCGGGGCGGGGGGAGAGGGGTGGGCGACAGCCAGGCAGTGTCCCCGCGGGTATTTATAGACCGGGCGACACGAGGGGGACGAGCGGTCCCAGCCCGGTGCTTCCCCCGGGGCTGGGGACACCGCAGCCCCTCGCGGTCCCCGGCCTGGGAGGGGGTCCCCGGGGTGGCGGGGGGGGTGGTCTCGGCTGGCAGGGCTGGGGGAGAGGGGTGTACGCCAGCACAGACGGGCTCGCTGCCTGTTTGCCTTCAACTCCGTGCTGCTCAGAGGCAGCCGTCCCTAGTGAAATGTTGCCATTTGCTGTTGCTCGGAGTAATCCCTTTATATGAATTTTTGGGCTGTTTTTTGTGTCAGATATAGCGAAGAGTTTATGCGCATGGGGAAGCGCTGGGGTTTGTGTGCGGCTGGGTGGGGGCCGTGGGGAGGAGGCGCCAGGGGCTCCGCTGTCTGGGCACCCCGATGGGGCTGGGTCCCCCCTACGCAGCCAGGGACAAGGGGAGTGGGGGAATGGGGGAATGGACTCCCCTCAAAAGCTGCGCTCGGGGATCTGCCGTGGGGTGCTGGGACTGTGCACCCCCCACCGCCCCGAATCGCTGTGGTTTTTCTCCGGTGTCCGAGTTGCAGGGTGGGCAAACGTCCCTGGCGCTGCCATCCCTGCCAGATTTGCACTGCCTGCCCTGGCAGTGAGTGACATGACCCTGGGGACGGAAAGCGAGAAAAACTGTCCCTGGTTCCTATCAGTCCCCGCTGGGAAGCGGCGGCTGGGGAGCAGCGGGGGCACACGGCGAAGCGTGCCAGCAGGGAAGCAGCCAAGCTCCCTTGTCCCTGCCCGCTGCCTGCCTGCACTCTGCCAGCCATGTCGGGCACCAGCTGGGCTCTGCCAAAACATTGCCCGTGCTCCCCTGCGCCAGCGTCGTGGTGTGACAGGTGTTGGGAGACGCCAAACCAGCTCCCCTCCCCGGTCACATTGCTGGCACTGGCAGCACATCCTCCCCTGCTTGTGGGTGCCTTCTCCCCCCCCTGCAGCTCCCATGGGTGCAGCTGCCCCCGATGAGTCGTCGCTGGAGCTGGAGAGGCCCAATGCTTCCTTCCCAGGGCCGGTGCAGGGCTCTGGTACTGCCCTTACAAGGGCAAATCTGCAGGTGAGGGCAGGACAGAAAGCAAATCTGGGGTGGAAATACCCCCAAGGAGACCTGGATCTGCAGCAACTTCCCATCCCGGCCATGGTCACATCCCCTCCACTCAGCACAGCTTGCTCCGGTGCCCTGCCAGCCCCTAAATCCTGTCCTGCACCAGCCCAGCCTGGATCCAGCCTGGATCTGGCCCACGGAGCTGGCACTGGATGGGGAAACATTCATCACAGGTGGGGAGTGCACCCCAGGAGCAGGCTTTGGGCGAAGGTCCCCTCCTTGTGCTGCCTTCCAGCTGGCAGAGCGATTTGGATAGAGAAAGATCGGGAAGAGGGAACTGGGAAACATTTGGCTGTAGTGGTTTGTGCTGTTTGCAGTGCTGGCACCAGCATCAGCCCTGTGTGGGAGAGGGAAAGGTGCTGGGGTGGGAGTCTCCCACAAAGGGCCACCAAGGGCTGTCACAAGGTGGGATGAAGCAGGAGACCTCGGTGGGGTGCGGCATCCCCGGGGGCACTGGCTTTACTGGGAGGCATCCTCCAGAGCTGGGACCCTGCAGGTGACATTAGGGAGAGCCCCGATGTGACAGGGAGGGGTCCCCCCACCCCACCGGGTCCCAGCGCTGGGTGCCGCAGCCATGCGGAGGTTTCTCCTGCGTTTGGGTGAAATTCCCCGCGAGGCTGGAGCGCAGCGGGGCTCTGGAGCGCGCAGGCTGCAGATGCCATTCCTGGGTAATCCAGGAGATTAATTGGGGTCTGGGCTGGGAGGCAGACTCAAAACGGACCCTCTGCTCTGACCTGCCTCCGGCTCCAGCCCAGAGCCGATGCCAAATGCTGAAGGAGATGCTGCTGGAGGGGACATGGCATCCACCGCATCAGAATCTGCAGCCCCCTGTCACATTCCAGCAAACCTCTCCCAGAGAGGGTCTTCCCCAGCCCAGCACCCCCTGATCTCCCTGAAAAAAACAAAAATCAAACCAAATCAAAGTTCTAGGCTGAGTCTCCTCCAGGATACAGACAGAAGCGGCTCCATCTGGGCTGGGCAGTGCTGCCACACACCCCGGCATGACAGCCCAGGTGGCTGCAGCACCAGGAGAGGATGGGGCAGCACCACTCCCTGCCTCAGTTTCCCCTTTCCTCCACCTGAGCCCTTTTCTTCTTGAGCATAGGGGCCATGCAGCCCAGCAGGGTCTGGACTTCAGCTTCAGCCCGAAGGCACAATTATCCTATAAAACATTAGGAGAATCATTAGTGTGACGGGTTTCACCCAGCTTCCCACGAAGCCAAGCCTCACACTCACTCCTCCTCTTGCCCCTTGCCTAACTTCATTCAAATCTGAGCAAGGGTGGGAAGTCTCCGAGAGAACTCAGGTCCCTGATAAGCTCCTGGGGAGGGACGGATGCTGCAGCTCTTCCTTCTGCCTGCAGTACCGGTCAGGGACAGATTGCCTGTGGATTAGCTAGCAGCGAGTCCCCACATGCAAGCAGTGAGACGTCGAGGCTGCGTGGGTTGGCCCACCCCAGCAAAAACTGTCTTTACTGGGGACCCCCCCTTTGGGTTCCCCTGGCCCCACAGTCATCAATTCACATGAATTTGGAGGAATTTTCTCTCTCTGAAGAGCAGGGCAGGTCCCAGGGTGGTGGGGGCTGGTCCCACCCATCCTCTCCCCAGACTTGTCACTGGTGTCCCCCAGGAGCCTGCAGGGGCACCAGCCCCAGGGTGGGTGGCATCAAAAAGCCCAAGCACACCCCATCTGCCCAGGCTGTCCCCCATCCCTGCGGGTCCCCACCACCCCCCTAAGCCTCGTGCTCTCCTGCCTCCCCACAGACCGCAAGTTCCTCATCGCCAACGCCCAGATGGAGAACTGCACCATCATCTACTGCAATGATGGCTTCTGTGAGATGTTTGGCTACTCCCGCGTGGAGGTGATGCAGCGACCCTGCACCTGCGACTTCCTCACCGGCCCCGACACCACGAAGAGCTCCATTGCGCAGCTCACCCAGGCCCTGCTCGGCTCCGAGGAGTGCAAGCTCGAGATCCTCTACTACCGCAAAGACAGTAAGAGTTGCTTTTCAGGGTGATGTGGTGGTGGGAGGTGTCACCTGCCTGGGATTTGGGCTGTCGGAAGCCGGTGGTGGGAGGCCAAGGGGGTCTGATGCTACCAGGGCATCGCGATTGCACCCAGACCCAGGGCTTTGCCAAGGGTGAGTCCATGGTGGCTCCCGGTGGGATGGAGGTGTCTCTGCTGTGATGGGGCACTGGGGGCATTGGGACCTCGAGCAATGGAAATTGTTGCCAGATTATTTGGGAATCGGGTCATTTGTGAGCCCTTGGTGATGGCTCAGAGCTCCCGGGGCAAGCAATGGCATCGCTCGTGGGATCCCCACGTCAGGAATGAGGATCCCGTGGGAAGCCCACGGAGGAGCTGGGCTGGGACATGGGTCTCCCGGTCTGTGCTCCAGGACGGTATGAGACAGACCCCCCGTCTCTGCTGAAAGTGGGTACAGCCGATGGCCTTGGAGCCGCCTGTCCGGCGAGCAGGATGTGGCTGTGCGTGCACAGATGGAATTATCTTAAGATGAAAATGAAGCTTTGATGGAAAATACTAGTGATTAGTTCTAATACTGCAGGAAGTTAAATAAATATTTACTGCTTGATGCTGCAAACTAGCAGCGGCCAGGGCTCCCAGGGGCAGGAGTAAAGCAGATCGGGTGCTCGCTAGACGTTAAAAATATTAAGTATTTCCTTTTTTCAACTTGTAGAGCTTTCCCATCGCTTTAGATTGTACTGATGGGGGTTTGGCCTGAGCAAGGGGCTGCACCCTGCTGCCGGCAGCTCCTGGGGCAGCACGGTGGAGGAGAAACAACTGGAAGTGAAGAGAAGTAGAAGGCAGGAGCCCTGGCTCCCAGCCCAGCACCCTATCTCTGGGGCTGGGACCCCGGTGTCCTGGCCTCCCTCCCAGACCCTATCTCCTGGGCTGGCATCCAGGTGCCAGCGTATCAGCCCCGGGAATTATCCACTGGCAGCACCCCCGTATGTTAACCCGCACGGTTTACCTGGCGGGGCTGGACCCTGTGCAGTGGCAGGATGAGGCCGCTCACCCGCCGCGTT